TGATATTTAAAAGTGGTGCGATTTTGTGTATTAAGTGTCTGCGCATGTGAACTATTAGTGGAAACTGTGAAACAAGTGCTCTGATAGTGATGTGATTCTCAAAATAAGGTGCCTGTCTGCTTAGGCGCCTTGAGATACCATCACTAACCTTCAGCTGTCTGCTGGCTCAAGTTGCTGTCAAAATCTCCCAAGGGCTGCACAATGTGACGCATCAACATATTGTGAAGCAGTATACTATGAAGAATAATTATTATAATATAATATTGAAACTTCAGGCTCAGAAGGGCTAGATCCCAGAGCCGTAAAGCCAGTTATTAAGAAGAAGAAGTTCCTTTTCTGCGCCCGTGACCAGGCTGGTGCAACTTCCATAGTAAAAATAATATGTACTACAGGGGTCAAATTTTAATGACGGTTACTCTTTAATTAGGTTTCATTTACATGTAGCAAAAGTTAATATCCCTCTAAAGTCACATTTTGGCAAGAATTAGATTATATAACTAAATCATTATTTTATTCATCAATAAACATTAGCTATAATGAGCACTTATTTTGAAAGCGACAATTAGTAAACGATCTCGATAGTATGTACATAGGTGCCTCTGTGAAGAAGTCTAGCGATTTGTACATAGTATATGTTACACATAACAGCAATTTAATCCAATCAGTATTAAAAACCCAATATTTTTACCCTTAAAAAAACTAACGTTGAAAACAAGCATCCAGATGCAGACTATTTATTTTACAGCATAGCAACAATTGTTCAGTGCGGGAAGAAAGCCTCGGTCCTGCAATGCCGCAGCCAAACGCTTAGCCACTGCGCTACGGAGTCGTCATTTATTTTTTACTTAATTAATTACTACTATAAAAGTTTTTTATTTTATATTTTCTTTATACATACTTTTGTACCTAATTGTAGAGATATAAATACAAATTGCTGTGTGTAAAATACATTGATTTCTTATCCTCATCGGCATTTTTACTCAATCCACACGTTAAAAATTTTATTTCTCATAAATAATTCACTATAGAGATCTAACTTTTCTTATGAAAAAATATCGATAAACAATGTATCGATAAACGTTATATCGATAAAATTATTCGAGGATAGACATATACTCGTTGGTAGAGTAACTTGGCGTAATTTCATGCATTAATTTTTACTATGGAAGTCCCGCCTCTTAAACGTAGTGATTATATTCTCTTTGCCCGTGACTTATGGAGTGTAGAGTAGAAGGAGAACCATCTCTGTATATGAAAAGTGTCCCTAAAAACGCGTCCAATAAGGGTGGCGCTGTAGTAGCATAGGATGAATTTTAAAAAAAGCGCCAAAATTTATTATAATAAGATGGAGAAATAAACAAGGACCGACCAATCTGCTTGGTTTTGTACTACGTAAATAGTTGAGGTTTTGTATACTGGCATTTTACTAACTACTCTAGTCGTGAAATTTTTTAACTTCACGACTAGAGTAGTTAGTAAACTGCTGACTTCACTCCGTCAACAACTGCTATATTCATATCATAGTTTTTCAGACGCCAGCGCTATTGTGGTAGGTTTTGGAACCTCTATTTTCAGTAAATATTGGGACACTTTTTCAACTTTCGCACCTTATAAGATGGTTCTCCTTCTACTCTACACTCCATACCGTGACTGTATTTATAAGATATGCAAAACTTTATGCGCAATTCATACAAGAGACCTTGAACAGCTGCAGCCAAATGCCACTCTGCTACACAGTAGCGGTGGCTACCAAGCAATCAATTATCATTATGGTTCTAACAGCATTATATAGTACAATAATTCAGGCAACTTCACGTATAAAGGCGGCAATCACATTGGCCAACATACTGGCGAATGTGTTAGCCAATACCGATGTCCATCGTGTAGAGCGGGTGTTTTTGCTTCACTTGGTATGTATTGGAATGATGGCCCACAAGTTGGCGCGAGATCCGTGTGGTGTCGGTTTTTTTTACAAAAGATGCGACAAAGTAAGAGTATTGGCCGCCGCGTCCACACGTTGGGCGCACGTTTAGTTTGCTATGAGCTCCCAGAATGATTGCACGCACCTGACTTAAATTTTATATTCGCGCATCGTAACTAGTGTCTACAATATGGTAGTAATAATGACCAATGAAGAAACTTGTCGCTTTATAGAGCTCTACCAAGCCGAAAATTATTTGTGGAACACGAACTAAAATTTCTTTTTTTGCTTTTCTTTTTCATCACCCTTTTCTTATACACATTCACGTAGTAGCGGTATGCTGTGAATAAATAAACCGCAGCAGCCGTTAGCGCCTCAATATCCATTTTAATAAATTCGTCCGCACATTGGCCTGAACCGAAGCAAACGGAACGACCTTCCAACGTGTGTACGCCATCATAAACTCTTGGCTAGTAATCTTTGCCAACATATTCGCCACTATGTTGGCCAACGTGATGAGCCGCCTTAACATAAAGGAGTGGGTTTTAAGCATGGGCGTTTTCAGTTTTTAGCTGCAACGGTTACATAACCGATATTTAGTTTTCATATCGTTTTTGAAAACCGTTTTCAAATATCGATATCAGTAGTAATGGTTTGCTACTGAATGGGCAAACGACAACCGAAACATAACCGCATAGATAATACACTATATACCAGGCATAACCGCAAACTGTAGAACCAGTGCAACATTTATTTTACGAATTACTTAGATTATTTTAGATTACATCTCAGAAGATCTATATTCTAATATTATCTTAGATGTAATATTTAGACATCATGTTAATATATAATTTCTGTAAATTCATTGTTATGCAGTAATAAATTATACCGTTACCGTTACAGTCCACTGCTGAACATAAGCGTCCCATAGATTGCATCATAGCGGGAATATTTGCCATAGTTGCCACGCTTGGCAAGCGGGTAGGCAACCGCAGTTTTTAAAGTGAAAGTTTTTACGGGAAAGTTTTTTGTGTGAGGAAAAGTTGTGAGGGTACACACTACGTACCGGGTCATTCGGTCGATCGTTCAAATCGCGAACGCAGGGCATTACATACCATAAAGTATGTAGTAATACAATTACACAACGGTATTTCGTTCAAATACTAATCTTATATTAATTTTATTTAAGACAGTCACCAAGGTACCGTGTACACGTATTTATTTTAAAAAGAGTGATCGCATTTAAGTAATAGCGTCATCTAGTACATTCTATAAGTAAAGAAGTAATTGAGAAGTAATTTTATCTATCAAAAATTGTTTGACTCACAAGGTGGTACGTAGAGTAGATCCTAAATGGCATAAACAAAAAAAGTTTTCTTATTTTTTTTAAAACATAACCTCCACACTAGGATTTTCTCCTGTATTGTGGGGGCGGCTTACAACAATTATTTGTAGGCTATACAAATACATGTTCCGTGCGGGATTCGAACCCGCGGTTTTTAGCGTTGTAATTCAATCGCTAAGCTACTGCGCCACAGAGCCGTCAAATTTCATTACTTAGTTTATTTAAAATAACAATTTGTAAATTTTAATTTAAATAAATTTTTGTTGATATAATATAAAACTTTGGTTTAATTATAAAATTAGATAATAGATAATTACCTAATTAACAACTTAAACCGATAATTTCTCTTTTTAAGATCGAAGATGATGCACTGTTACATATGTATATATTTTTATGTAAATAAATAAATGACATACGCTATTTATGCTATTGAAATATCATTCATGAATAATTGAAATGTTTTCCTGTAATACTAAAGTTTCATTTCTATCGTGTGTCTTCACGACACACACTGTTTTTATTTTTATTTTTAGGCTTTATCTGGAAGACGTGGTAGAGCCATGCTACAGCTATATTTCTGGTATAGTTGTAACACGAATGGGTAGGCTCAACCGGGGAACGACCACACTCTCACAGAATACCAGCGTAAAATAGCAGCTTAACACTGCTGTGTTTCGTATGGTGAGTGTTAAGTGACAATATTTACAAACAGCAAGGTACACGCAGTTGTCTTTTTTATCAAAATAAGACCATATTTCACTAGCCTTACGCGACATTTTGAAAGTCTATTTACAAAAATAATTAAGAGACTCTAAATCAACTTAAACTGTACTATACTATATTTTCACTTTACACATAATTGTCTGAATTAAAACTACTGTACAAAATGCACACAAATATTGCAAATAATGCACAAATCCAACGTTGAAAATTAATAATTTTAAAGATATTATTATCCTAGTGAACGACACGCGCCAACAAGGCCAAGTGCGTAATTGTTGCGTTTTGAAAGAAATTCAAATTCTAAACTTTCCAACCAAAACATAAACAAACAGTTGCCTAAACCAAATATAATAAGGTCATACAAAATGAAGCCTTGTGTTTTTTGACCTAAAGATCATTTAAATCTAACAACTCTCACAACTACACAAACTTAAAAAATTAGGCAATTTTAACCATTAAAAGTCGACCTTATTGTTAAGACTCTTATAATTATATTTCACTACGTGACCCGTTTTATGATAACAACCAAAACATCACAACGAAATCCATATTCGCTTCATCTTCATCATCGCTAGAACGAGAAACAACGAATATCAAAGGACATCGGTTAGTTTTGGTTTTGGGCCGTTTTCCCTTTTTGGCGTATCGTTACAGTTTGCGTTTTATGTTTCGTACGTTGGTTAGTTGATTTTGGGTTTTGGTTGGATATGTGATAACGGTTATGTTCTTAGGCTTATCGATATGATATGATATTTGATAACATAACGTTATTAGTTACGTTTTGATATATCGGTCTCATGCCTAGTGGGTTTTATTTGCTTTCTTCAATTGTACTGAATAAAAAGTCAGTTTTCAATAACTTCATTTATTTTAGCTAAAAATAATCCCAACTTTCTTGACTATTACATTATGTAATAAACCAGATTTTTCATATAATTTAAAAACTCATATTTTAAAATAAATACATTTGATAAGTACTATCATGGTTTCAAAGTTTGATCTCAAGCAATTTCATGTCATTGCAGGCAAAGTTCTTTCTATAAATGCTCTCATATCTTTTAGTTCTGCTTCTGAGGAGCTATGTGTCAAACCTTGATATGTATTGAATTCAATGTTCTTCATAAAAGTCTTGAGGAAGGAAGCTGTCATCTGACCCCATTTAAATGGAACAACTGGGTCACAATCCCCATGGGCTTGGAATATCTGAAAAAAAAATGACCAATTATTTAAAAAAATAAAATAACGAACAAAAACGAAAAGGTGTTATTTAATTTGTTAATGTTCTATCGTTACAAGAGCATAAGCGGCCCACTTTAAAAACATTCACCTGCAAATATTATAATACGTTTCTACGTAAGTTAACGCAGTAGGTGTCAATGGTAGTGGTATATTTACAAGTGTTCCTTCTTGCTGTTAATATCATGCACTATAATAATGTCCTCCAGACCGAATTTCAGTCACGACGGCCAGCCTCGACTGAGACTAGTCATCGACGCAGGGCAAGATTATAGTGCCAAAGTGTATGCATATGCATTCTCTATTCTCTCACTCTCATAGTCCGATGGGACGGTAAACCAACACGACCGGAGAGAGATCAGGCGCAGGACCAACGGCTTTACGTTCTTTCTGAGGCAAGGGGGTGAGACACCGCCAACTTTGTGACTCCGGGCAGCTACTGAGAATTTATGGACGGAAGAACTCAATAACGGCTTCTCATGATCGGAAGTCACTTTACAACCATTAGACCTAATGAGGCAGTCCAAGCAACTCCGAGAGACGGCTCCAGGGCGCAGTGGCTTAGCAAGCAGTTGTTGCGTTGGGGGCAGCGGGTTCGAATCCCGTACGGAACAAGTAATTGTATGGCCTACAAATAATTGTTCCGGGTCTGGATGTTTGTACTTGTGCAATTTATGTTTGTAAACTGCCTCCACGACACAGGAGAAAATCCTATTCAGGGGTAACGTTTTTTTTTAAAAAAAACTTTAATAATCAAATGAAAATGGGAATAATAATGTAAAAAGTAGAGCCATGCTGCAGGTATATTGATAGTGAAGTTGTAGCACGAATCGGTCGGTTCGACCGGATGTCGCCCTTGAGGACTAAGATGGAATGCCTCATTTCCAGTAATGGGTCTCTCGTTGTCTACACCAGTCCAGAAGTCGCTGTATACAGGGCTAAACATATCTGCACACTCATCACTCCTTTGCAAGCAACTTCAGGGAGTGATGCCAGTCACTTCAGGGACAGTTGAACTTCTTCGGGGAGATTTCATGGCTCGAATAAATACATTATTCCTGCCCACACACAAAATAGGCGCTTAGACGTGGAGTTGCGGAAAACAGCCCGTTTATTCAATTCAAAATACAACGAATATAAATACATAGGCTGCACTAAAAGTATCGGGAATGGAATATTTCCACTGTTCCTGTCATATTAAAATCTTTTTAATTGAAAACTCCTTGGTTTTAAAAATCGAATACCATTTATTTATTTAAAAAAAGATTCTCGGTCTTGTCACAAGGTTTTGTCAAACTTGTTTAGTCGTTGAGAAAATGGAATTGACTCGAGAAAATTCAAGAGCGATGATTTATTATGACTTTCGAAATGGTTTAACACAAAAACAGTGTGTTGACCGGATGATTTCTGCATTTGGTGATGAAGCCCCATCCAAAACCACAATTTATCGCTGGTTTGCTGAATTTCAACGTGGACGTGTCAAGCTCAGTGATGATCCCCGTCAAGGTCGTCCAAAAACTGCAGTCACCCAAGAAAACGTTGATGCTGTGCGTAAGCTGATTGAGGAAGATCGACATGTGACATACCGCGAAATTCAGGCAACTTTAGACATTGGCATGAGTCAAATACAAATAATCTTGCATGAACAATTAGGTGTAAAAAAGTTGTTTTCCCGATGGATACCGCATTCGCTCTGTGAAGAGCAAAAAGCGGCTCGCGTTACTTGGTGCGTCAGAACTCTCGAAAGATTCCACACAGGATCCTCAAATGCTGTATACAACATCGTATCAGGTGACGAATCCTGGATATATGCTTACGAACCCGAAACAAAAAACCAGTCACGAGTTTGGGTGTTCGAAAGTGAGTTAAAGCCAACAAAAATTGTTCGTTCACGGAGTGTTGCAAAAAAAATGGTGGCCACGTTTGTCTCGAAAACCGGCCATGTTACGACTATTCCTCTTGAGGGACAAAGAACGGTTAATGCAGAATGGTATGCTAGCATTTGTTTGCCACAGGTCGTTTCTGAACTCCGTAAAGAGAACTGCAACCGCCGCATCATCCTCCATCACGACAAAGCGAGTTCTCACACCGCACACAGAACAAGAGTTTTTATAGCATTGGTTCCATCGTATGGAAAAATGTGTCAAATTTCGCGGAGAATACTTCGAAAAGCAATAAATACATTTTTAAATAGTAATGTTGTTTTCAGTGCCGCCCTCGTACCTGCAGCATGGCTGTACTGACGTCTCTTCTTGAAGTCGGCTAAAAAGCTGATTAGTTAAGAATTAGGGAAATCCAAAAGTGCACCCCTCATGAGCGTTGTTATATTTTTCATCAAAATTTCATTTGATGTTGATGAAAAAAATAAATATTTTTTAAACGGTGTTTGTGAATTTAATAACAAATATCAATAGGGATCCTCCTTAGAATGTATGGAATATTATTTAATACTATATATCTCAATCTATTGCTTACATTTCTATAAATCGAGAAGACTCACCAACATACAGACCAACGGACGGCAGTCCATATATTTTTTCAATTACATTTTTTGTTATGTAATATAAAGTGATTTAATTAGAAAGTAAACTAATCTTATAATTCAATGTTTGTCTGTTAGTGGATTTGATGTCTAGTAGTAAAAGTATAAGAACGATTTTATGTAGCGAAATTGAGGTATGGCCACATATCGAGAGTAGAGCACTACTTGTACATGTTGTGAGGCGTGCAATATCGATACAACAGATATATTTGATACCAAGTAGGCTATTCTGTATAAAAATAATACTATTATTTCTAAATTAAATAAATATTATCATGCAAAGGAAATCAAGCGTACTTGCTAGGAAAAGCTTAAGAATTAAAAAGTAAAATAAATATTACTTTCTTAGTGACCTGCGGTCGTGTCGGCGATGCTGAACAGGGATTTGAGACGTGGAAGACTTTTATGTCTTTCTATAATTCCGTCATGGTTCAGAAAAACGCTGTTGTGCACGAAAGCGAAGTCATATCCCTGTCGAATTTACGGGGGGGCTGGCGCGCTTCCGTCAAATATTTCTCGTTACTTGCTGATAATCTACCACTAATAGCATGAGAATCTTGAGCGCCTAGCAAAGTAGCCAAAGGTGTTCTCTTCATTTGATGTGATCTTGAACTATAGTAACAATAAAAGTTCAAGTATGGAAAGGTGTAAGCAAGACTGAATTAGCAGCATAATGATGGAAACTCACATTCTGTACAGAGACCACTAGGCCTACCTTGGCAGTGAAAGCAATCATCAAGAAGTTTTAACAGGTAGAAATTTAACACAACTTAACTACTATCTACTAGGGTAGGGGAGGTCTATATAAATTTTTCCTACATGAAAAAACCACACTCATCTACAATGTGTGTAATTTATCAAGCTTAATTAAAGACAATTCCTTGAATGCAATGGAAATTTATCAAGTTAAAGTTTCATAGTGAAAGAAACACTAATACCATATCTAGGATAATGGCATTCAATAAAACTGCCTGTAAAGGAGTTAGTGGAAAACAATTTGAAGAGAATTGAGGAGCTACAAACATAATCTCTCTAATTAACAGCGTATAATATCCAGTGTCATTGAGTGTGAAAGATGATAAATTTAAAAATAAACAAAAAGCTCAGCATTACTATCCTGTCTAAAAAATTATAATCTAAATATTATTATTTAAGGCATATAGAATATTTTTTTTTATAGGATAAGGGTGACAAATGAGCATACAGTCCACCTGATGGTAAGTGTTTACTGTGACCCATATACATCTACATTTATCCTCGATTACGAATCAAAATGCAGATGCGTTGTCACCCGTGAGGACTAAGATGGAATGCCTCGTTTCCAGTAAAAAGTGTCTTCGGTTCTCTACACTCACCATACGAAACACAGCAGCATTAAGCTGCTATTTTACGCTGGTATTCTGTGAGAGCGTGGTCCTTCCCCGGTCGAGCCGACCCATTCGTGTTACAACTATACTAGAAATATAGCTGCAGCATGGCTCTACCACGTATATAAATATGGACACATTTATTACAATAATGTTAATAACATAATAAACATACCGGTAAATCAGATGGAGCCTTTACACAATTTGGGAAATGAGCATGTCTTGGTAGCCAACATGATAATGCCATAACACCAGCCACACGTTCAGGATATGTTAATGCAGCATGAAGTGCTAGTGCCCCTCCTTGAGAGAATCCTCCTAATAAAACTCGGTGTGCAGGTATACCCGCCTATAAACATTAAAATAAAATATTTTAAGTCTACCTAAGCTACATAAAGTTATATGTAATAATAACTATTAAAGTAAATATTTTTTTATTGAATAGGGGGCAAATGAGCACACTGATTACTTGATAGTAACTAGTTACCTTCGCCCATGAACACCAGAGGAGTTTTAGGTGTATCACAGGCCTTTTAAAAGGGGTAAGGTTTTAGTTTTCCGTCTGGAAAAAACAAAATTTCACAAAGTGCAAGGAAAATAACACAGTTGTGGATTGCCAAGCATCCAGATTGTGTGATTGTGCGAGAGGTTTTTCACGATGTGCGATGATGGAACTTGGATGTCACAAAAAATGTAGAGATTCGAAGTCTCGCAATGCAATTGAATCAAGGCGATCACTCAAGCAGATCACACAAGAACTCAGTTGTCAAAGGTTTTCATTTAAGGTGTGAGGAGTCATCTAAAAGATGCAGATGAAAAAGAAATGGTTGACAGAAGTTTTCTTGGTACCGGAGACCAGAATGCATGTCTTATCCAAGGAAGACTAATTAGTCTCCCACCTCTTTGGTATACTTTTGAAGAACCTGGAGACAGAATTGTAATTCTTTTTTGGAGCATATGTTTTTGATTAAAGATTTTATTTCAACTTAGTGTCATTAACATTAAGAGCCGTGGGGTAGCTTAGTGGGTTAGCACTCGCTGTAAATTTCACAGTATGTGAGCAACTCGGGTTCGATCACCGCCGGCACAAATGAAATTGTTAATAGCAATTTTAAGTGTTGATTTACCACGTGCTCTGCAGTGAAGGAAAACTTCGTGAAGAAACCTACATGTCTGAGAAATTAAAAAAATATATATTTCGAAGACATGTGAAGTATGCCAACACGCAGTGCGGTGGACATTTTATTGCCCTAAAAGTCTCTCAGAAGTAAGAGTAGGCCTGTGCCCAACAGTGGGACGTATATGGGCTGTTACTTTTAGTGTCATTAACAACAAGAATAATTTAGTAATTGTACATGTATTACTATGTAATACTTTCAATTAAAATAAAAAAAATTAATTGTCCATTTTACTGGCTCTCTATACCCTTTAGACAAGAACACAGCAGTGCACATACTTAATTCGGTACTGGAAATAAGTAAGAAGGCGGTACCTAAACAGACAGACTACTGGGCAGAAAATGATTCTTACCACTTAAATAGTATTTAAACTTTGGATAATATTTAAATATAATTTACACAGTGCAACCCTCTCTTACACGTGTCTCTAATTGTCTATACAGTTGACCTGCAGTAATCCGACAAACGTTTTGCAAGAATGTATCAGATTATCAAATTTGTTGGACTATAGAGTACTGCCACAGCCTACTTGTGTACTGAAACTTTTTGAAAAAGAGTATCTTGTAATCTGACAAATAAATAATGAATGCCCACTATCATAGTCACATTTAAACTGAGACAATATGTGCCATAATAATGAAGCTAAATTTGTGGTGGCGCCAACTAATTGCAACCTGTTTGTCCACATATTCACGAAAGACAGCATGGTGGATTCATAATGTGACTCAATTGTACCTACATGTTAAAGCAATGACGGATTACAAGGGGGTGCAGATTAGCCAGGGGCCGAATTACCGGGGGTCCACTGCATAAGCTTGTTAATATTTTTACCAATGGTTTAAATACTTACTAGGTTTTGAAAATTTGGTACATTATATATTGTATCTAATATCCAGATTTAATGAAAGAGGGAAAAATTAAGAATACAAATCGATAATTACTTATTTAAGAAAATACTATACACTGAATATACACATATTTTAGGGATTATTTTGTCATGTTTCATTTTAATTTTCCACGTTTAAGAGTGCTTTAAAGGAGCTTCATCTCCAAGGTAAAATTAAACCCAGTGAAGTCCATAAAATTTGGTTTTTTTTAATGATAATCAAATTTAAATATTATATATAAAATGTATTATTTAGGTAATTACGAAATATTTGAACAATAACATAAATATTGGGCTAACCTTAACTTCTTCAGATATCAATCCATGAATAAGATTTGTCGCCCTAAGTATACCTTCTTCATCTTCGGGAGCAGTCGCATCAAGAGTTCTAAGATCAAACCATGAAGGCATACGAAAACCAAGGTTGAGCGTCACTGGCATTGTTGCAGCAGTCGGACAAATGACCTTAACATGAGGACCTCTAATAGCTGCAATAGTACTTGCCCAACCATGCCTATAAATTAGAAATAATTTTAGTAAAATTTTATTTAAAAAATTCTTAAACGAAATTAATACGTACCCGGTATCACCTAAACCGTGTAAAAAAATAAGCTGAAACAGAAATATAGAAGTCAATTCAAAACAAAACTTAATTCTACATATACAAAACTATAGTATAAAGAGTATAGCTCATAACTTACAGATGCTGTTTGTTTAGCAGTTGCAGCAATAATTACTGGATTCGGTTCCATAATAAGATTACACGAAAATCAATACGTTAAAACATATGTATGCAACTGACAGTCTGACACAAACTTCCACTTCCACGGCCCTACGCTAGCACCACAAACTATATCCGCTAGGAGTAAAGTATTCTGTGATATAGAATTATAGAAACACTACGTGTTTTAGCACTTCTTATCCACAGACTAATATGATGCTTATCGCTTACGCATGTTCTTATCACAGATAACCATAGATAAATAAATATGTAGCAAGCTACAGATATAGTGCCACCAACTTATCTGTTCAGTTGACAGCGTCGCTAGTGGAGTGCTTACTATTGCCATTTAAGAAATTCACCGAGGAAATAGGTGACTACATATTCATTACACATAATATAAAATAAAACAAATTTCTTGTTAATATATTAAAATTAATGAGAATTAGTGTTATTATATATATTATATATATTATTTACATTTTATAAAAATAATTGTGGACGTGACCTCGGTGTTCAAGCGGCTGAACTCCAGGAATTTGTGTTTTGAAAGATGTACCCGCGCTAGCTACTGGTTCCAATAATTCATCTTCTGAGTCACTGGAGTCGCTTTCGATATCGCTCTGACACGCTATAATAAAGGGTTCATCTAAATACGCGTATTTTAGTCTGTATTCATTTTCAAGTTTTTTATATGATTACAAATGTTTTTCCACTACACCGGTGTAATTTTATGGAATGCATCTTCAATTAATTGGGGCGTTGGAACATAAGATTTACCAACAGTTTTACAGTAGATTGAAATAAATTTTTTACTATGTTTGACAAGTACATTATTTGGTGATTTTAATTTTCCATATCTGGCAATACAAACCTGTCGCGGCAGCGACGCGTTCATACAGCTTTTCAAATAGTTGGGGCTTGTACACGTTTCTCGCCTTTCATAAAAGATAAAACTTTCAAGATAATCTGTCCCGCATCACTTTTAAGATCTTTAGGCATTTTATTTGCACTTTTTAAAAACACTCACCTGATAGCTCAGAATAAATAATAACTGACAGCGAAATGTCATTTACAAAATGGCGGCTTTAGTTCCAATTTTGTCCACCTGAACAGATAAGTTGGTGGCACTTTATAACTGTATACTAGTCAGAGAGCATAGATTACTGTATATATACTAGTGAAGTCAGAGACTTATTATAGTGCGCGCAACAGAGTTGCCAACTTAATTTTTTAGGAGATCGTATCATAAGCTGGAAAAAAATCGTATTTTGCTAAGAACTCAAAAGAAAAAATAGTACGCATTTAAAATGTCAATAAAACAATGGAAAAAAAATAATATTATTATAACGTCAAAGCAAAATTTAATATTTAGGGTATAACATTTAAGAATCTGACACTAAACTTTAAGACTATACTTATATTTATTACTATTAAGCCCTGAAATCATTTTACATTACAAAATTACAGTATTATATTGATTAACAAATACAAATAAATGAATTACTAGCGTCTATTAAAATGAAGCGTCATTTGAAATAAAATAATATTTCTTTCATGGCAAGATAAGAAAAAGTGCGAAGGAGATGGATATTATTCCGTCTCACTTCCTTATTTCACCGCCAAGGCCGTCTAAACTATGACACAAGGGGTATTGACGAAAAAATCTTACACTTTTTTATACGTGGTAGAGCCATGCTGCAGCTATATTTCTAGTATAGTTGTAGCATGAATGGGTCGGCTCGACCGGGGAAGGACCACGCTCTCACAGAAAACCAGAGTAAAATAGCAGCTTAATGCTGTATGGTATGGTAATTCGTATGGTAAGTGTAGAGAACCGGAGACCCTTTTTACTGGAAAAAAGGCATTCCATCTTAGTCCTCACGGGTGACAACGCATCTGAATTTTGATTCGCAAACGAGGATAAATGTAGATGTTTATGGGCCACAGCAACCACTTACCATCAGGTGGACTGTGTGCTCGTTTGTCACCCTATCATATAAAAAGAAAAACTTTTTGTCGCCTAGCTCCCACCCGCCAAACCCGTACCATCCGATAAGGAACTTCGTTCCGGAAATGATTGACTATAGTAATAGCGTAATATTTAAATTAAAATTAACCGAGTAATACTCATAATGAACCGGCACAATTTCAAAAAATTATGGGATTGGATGCGTTTAAAAAATACAAAGAAGTTTAGAGCTTGTTCAATTTTGATGTTATTACTCGTAATTATTCATATCGATAAAATGAACTTAATCAATTATCATTTTTATTTTGTCATAAAGATTATCAGATTTGAAAAGATCGTTTATTTTGCGTAAGATTTCGAATACATGATCGTACATCGTACTAAGGGCAAAAGATTGTATGAATACTGTTAGTACTTTATATACACAAAAAATTACTAAAACCAAATTTGTTGTGTTGTGGCGGCGCTGTCGTCGCGCCACAAGCGAAACACATCGAAGCCTAGATCGCGCTAACAAAGTTCCGAAGTTAAAGCAGTACATATAGAATAGCTCCGAACTACCACTCGGAGTATTGGCCGCTCCCCGGGCAGAACTTCTTGCCCGGCGGGAGATATCCCCTTTTCCTTCTACCCGCCACAGTGGTGACCCCGACGTGATATGAACACGCAAACAACAACCTTCGGAAACTACAACTTCAAAAACCTTCGTCATCGTCCTCAAGTACCCCATTCATTCGCTTTCGAGCAGATATTGTCTGCAGTCTTCACAGGTTCATCGCAGCACTGGAATTATAATGCTTCCTGTTCCTTCAAGCTACTCTCTGCGTTATAGTGTTCGGCACGGCTCTGAGCCTTACTGCTCGCCTCTGCTTCACGGCACTCTCGCAGATTACTTGCCTTCATCTCGACTTACCGACTACAAGGAAATTCCTGGCACTTACTCCGGCTCATCGTTCTCACCGGCATCACTTGCAAGTGCGTAGTATGGTATGCATTACACACCGGCATATCGTTCGCACCTGCCCTTACGCACACAGCATGCATTCCCCACCGACATTAAGGACGCACCGGCAATCGGACTGCACTATCGACCTCTGATATGAGCAGGGGGGTGATGTGGCGGTTTTGTCGTCACGCCACAAGCGAAACACATCGAAGCCTAAATCACGCTAACAAAGTTCCGAAGTTAAAGCGGTATATATAGAATAGCTCCGAACTACCGCTCGAAGCGTTGGCCGCTCCCCGGGCAGAAGACCTTGCCCGGCGTGAGATCTCCCCTTTTGCTTCCACCCGCCACAGTGTCGATGTGTGCATTCGACACTTAACAAATTTAGTTTTATCAACATTTTGTGCTTAATGCATGCGTGCGAGACGATTCGTAATGACTCTCGAAAACAGCACGTAGACGCGGCTCAGAAGGGAAATCAGTCTGTAGTACTTCAAGAGAGCGTTGTCGCCTTTCTTGAAGAACAAGACCACCGTACTTCTACTCCACGTCTCCGGAGTAGTCCCACCATGTAGGACAGATTTAAGAGTTTCTGAAGGACTTCAAGTACCGTTTTTTCATCCGCTTTCAGAAGCTCCGCCGTAATTATATCCTCACCCCAGGTGAGTTTTTAAGGTGCTGGAGAGCCATTCTAATATCGCTCAGACTGATGTCCGGGATATCTTCGGAATAGTATCGGATAAGACTCGCTCTTGGATCGTTATTCACACTTGCGTGTGGCTCCAACGATGACGTGCACAGCTGCCCATAGAACCTCTCAATCTCACTCAAAATCTCTGGTGCCTCAGAAACGATGCTGCCACACTCGGTCTTCAGCTTTGACAGTTGGTTCTTTCTGGCAGACAGATCTCTGGCAAAGACTTTGGAGCCTTGGTTACGCTCGATCGCTTCTTCAATACAAGCTGTATTGAAGTTGCGTAAGTCCCGCCGCATGCATTTGGAGATTTGTCTGTTCAGTTGCCTGTATGCTGTCAAATTTGTTGAAGACTGCAGCCTCATTTCCCGTCTAACAGCCATGAGATTAAGAGTGTGATCGGAGAGTTTTTGTGTTCTCCTGCGGCGGGTCTTGCAGAACTTAGCTCCAACCGCATGGACAGTTTCCACGAGCTTATCATTCATATCGTCCACTTCATTGCAGTCTTCTAGGCACTGAAAACGGTTTAGTAACTCGAGCTGAAACGAGCGTTGAGCGTTGACTTCATTAGACGACACCTATCCAACTTAACGTTTAGGTTAAGTGTGCCTCTAACCATTCGGTGATCGCTACCAGTTTTCACCCTCGCGATCACTGAGACATCACTGAACAGTTGTCGTCTGGTCATCATAATGAAGTCAATCTCATTTTTTGTTGAACTGTCGGGGCTCAGCCAGGTCCACTTCCTGTGGGGCCGCTTCTGGAAGAAAGAGTTCATCATAAAGAGTCCCTCTTTCTCCATGAAGTCGGCTAGCTGCTGGTCACTTGGGTTCCGTTGCCCTATTCCAAATTTCCTTACCTTCACCTCACCGTTCTCTCTTGTGCCTGGTATTGCATTGAAGTTTCCTATTAACACGGTTATGTGGGTTTTGGAAGAATGCATGGCTCTAGAGCCATGCATTATTCTAATCCGATTCTAACAACCAGCACTTGAGAATTTCTGCCATTTAAAGTTATAAATAAAGTTTATAAATGCGAGAAATTCTAAAGCTACTAAAGCCAAGAATTAAAACAAATGCTCTAGAAAGAAGACAAAAATTTTGTTGCTTTTGTTGTTTATGTGATGAAAAGTTAATAAATAATCGTTTCTTTATTTTAATTTTATTGAATTATATTAATTTAAAATAGTGTTTTCATTTCTGTTGCTTAATTTAACATTGTTAGTATTTATGTATGTTGTGTAAGTAAACAAAATTTAGTCCCTTGCGCTTTATTAATTGTCATTGCAAAACTGAGCTTAATAGGGAACTGCAACCTTTTGAATTGAAAAGGAAGATCTGTGGGAATTATAGGGATTCGTGGTATAATAACATTTTCATCTTTTCCTACGCCTGTCAAAATTGTAGCATCGATTATGTT